TATATATATATATATATATATATTAAATAATCATTAGATGTGCAGTATTGATTCTTTAAGAAGTTCTTAGTACTGAGACCAAGTTCAGATAAACCAAAATACTGTAACCTGAAACGAGAGACTCGTTAACTCAAAATAGCTCAAATAATACAAAAAAATAAATAATAAATTAAAACTATACATTACAAAATCAAATCGCGCTTTTAAAATCTAATAGATTGGCATTTTTTCAAAAAAATAATGTCATGATTCAACAATGGTTAGTAATAATGGTGAGCGTTCAAAAATTAATCTCGTTCCACGCTCAAGTGTAAGTTACAAATAGTCTTTAAAATTAATTAGATATTTTGTGAGATTTTATATTTGAAGCGTGAAACTTTTCCATGCAATTAATATTTTTAAAGATAGTTTATTTGTTATAGTTTGTCGAAATAGTTTATTTTCATAAAAATGTAATATAAATTATAAAGTAAGTAGTACGATGTAAAATAAAATTTAATAAAAGTAATTTATTTAAAAATTGTCTACAATATAAAAGACAGAATATTATTGCGGGAAAATAATGTATAACAATAGTAAATATTTTGAATAAATATTGCGTTTTTTTGTGGAAAGTGAAAAAGAAATTTAATAAAAAAATGTATAAAACTAGGGAGCGTCGACTTTGATCAAAGAAAACAAGCCTACGTTGTTCAGACTAAATATTACACGTTGTTTATAGAAAACTAAATTTAGATAAGATAAATAGCTAAGACAAATACGATAAGTGACCTTAACTCAAACATGATGTAGTTAAACTGATTCGGTACATTTACAGTGAAAATAAAATTCAAGCATAATACATCATGGTTTTCATCGTCTATCAGAAAAATGGAATCTTTTATCCTTGTAACCCGGGAAAACTGTTTTTTCCATTTAAATAAAAATATTTAAGAAATTAAATTAATTGCAATGTTAGGAAATATTAGAAATTAAATTAATTGCAATGTTAGAAATTAAAATATTTAAAATAAATAGTAATTTACTTCGTGAAGTGTATTTTCGTTTTCATTAATATAAGACATTCTTAAGAAATTAACGTCTAAGCTTTTCACTAAAATAAAAAAATGAAAACAAATAGCCAAACGATAACAAAGAACATCATAAATTCAATGAAAATTTTTTTTAAAAAAACGATGAACTTATCCTTATAATTAGAATAGCCAAACGCTTTTTGCTGTAGCGCTGAAACCGTTTGGAGCAGTGTTGCTATTTTGCCGAGCATTAAATAAATACGCGTAGCATTTTTACATGCTCTAAGGTTAGAATGGAAACACTTTATATATTTCTCCGTGCTATGAACTGTTGATTTTTAACCTATTAATTTCTGCCCAACTGATATCTATGTTTCAGCTTTTCGTTGCCCAGCTGGGAAAACAGTTTTCCTTTTGAAATTTGTAAGCATGAACGCTTAAGCGATCAACGATTCGGTTAAATTTACTTTTCAGTTCTGTGCTTTTAACTAAATGTGAGGTGATATGAACTATAATCTTGAAATCCAAAATTTCCGGTAAACCGTTACCACATAAACAGAAAATTTTCCAAATGGATAGTTTAAATACCGTATATTTTGTTTTTATTAACCAGATTTTTTTTAAAATATATTTCTGGTTAATAAAAACAAAATATACGGTATTTAAACGTCATTGTATAAAAAAAGACTCGAAAAAAATGCACCACAATAAATGAAATGGCAATAACTTAATATTCTTTTAGAAGCCCGGTATCATTTGATCCGTGGATCCACGAACCTGTACCGGTCAGCCGCCCTAGAATTGGAGACAACTTCTCTATGGAAATGACATTTTTGGTAAAAATATAATTTCCATAGAGTAGTTGTCATGACATTTTTGGTAAAAATATCAATTCCATAGAGTAGTTGTCATGACATTTTTGGTAAAAATATCATTTCCATAGAGTAGTTGTCTCCAATTCTCGGGCGGCTGACCGGTACCGGTTCGTGGATCCACGGATCAAATGGTACCGGGCTTCTAAAAGAATATTAAGTTATTGCCATTTCATTTATTGTGGTGCATTTTTTTCGGGGAACTGAGAGACGTCACCTAAGCACTTAAATGCAATTGCATTTAATTTTTAATGCAAGTTTAAATGAAATTAAAATTTTTAAATTAAAACAATCTAAGATATAAAAAAATCATCAACACCCGCCCTCAGCGGGCCTTTGTAAAATTATCAAACGTTGACCGGTTCTCTGTGATAAAAAGGTTGGGAAACACTACCATAGAGTACGGATATTTCTTAGAATTTTTTTTCTCTGTGTGGTTAAGAATAAACATTATTGACTGATAAGTATAAAATGTTGACATGCGAAAAGTAGCCTATTAACTATAACATCAGCAACAATTTAACAAGTATACTATACACTATAACACCAGTAACAATTTAATAAAACCAATAACCAATAGCGCCCTTGCTGTCCAGCTAACGATGGGAGATTTTCGTGGTTTTCCTCTCCAGGTAACGAAAATGAGGGTTAGTTCCATCAAAAAGTCATACACGAAGACAATTTTCTCCTAACACTTGATCCAAGAGTTTCCTTGTCTTCTGAAATTGGGTTCAAAATTACGAGGCTGCGGAGTTGAACATTGGTTGTCGTAAACCCAAAATTGGGTTGACTGTTTAACGACGGTTATAAAATAAGAATTTATTTATTTCAAATGGCAGAGGTAATTGACATGAAAAAGCAAAAACATAGGAACAAAACAAGAAAGTAAAAAGTCATTTCCTTAGGAGCGCTCTTGCTTCCCAGTATTGCTCGGTAGACGACGACCCGCGGAGGGCCCTGCAGCACAGGATGTGGCTGCCATCCAAAACAGCTTGGCTCATGCATAGAGAACAATAGGGATCAGGTGCCAGCCCTAAACGAAACAGGTGCGCGGCAAGGCAGTCATGTCCGGTATGTAGTCGAAACTGAGCCACCGCTTCGCGGCGCGGCCAGTCTGGAATGGTGTTCTGTCGAAGATCTCTCCACACTTTGGTTTTTACCCTTTCTGACAATTGATGGTGGAAATCCCCATTGATTTTTGATCTAATAATCCTTTTTAAAGTTGAAAAGGGGACTGGGCTACTAAGAGCCTGGAGAATTCTTGTGCCTCTCTTTGCCAAAACATCAGCCCTCTCATTTCCTGCAATATCACAATGCCCGGGAATCCATTGTAGGGCTACAGTTTTGCCAAAATGGTGGAGTTTGCGTATCGCATCCTGACATTTTTGAACGTCGCAATTGGAAGGGCAATGCATAGATTCAATCGAACAAAGCGCCGCCTTCGAGTCTGAAAGGATAACCACATTTGAAAAAGACTCAATAAAACAAAAAAGCTGTTCAAGAGCAATACGGATTGCAACAACTTCCCCGTCAAAAGCAGATCCATTGGCACCCACTGGGGCACCAAAGGAGAAGAGATTACAAGAGATACCAGCTCCAGCATTTGGTTGATCCGGATGGAAAGAGCCATCTGTAAAAACTCTCAGCCAGAGCGGTTCCGGGTAACGGATTCCCATTGTCTCCAGCGCAAGAAGGTGGAGAGCAGATGTAGATGTTTCACTTTTAACAATGTCCTGTTCAAGAGAGAGCCTGACATTAATTTTTTGGTAGTCAAGAGGGCTCACCAGTTCCACCTGACCTTCTAGTTGGGGCAGATTAAAATAAGAATAAAATAACCAATAACAAGAGTTTGAAGGCCTCATTGATGATTAAACACAAAATAAATAAACAGAATTGTTATTAAACTTTGACCACTTTTAATGTCAGTCATTAGTTAAAAGCAAACACATATCAAAAGAAGTGCATTTAATGTACTGCAATGGTTAAAATTGTGCATATATTTTCCAGAAATATAAACAAATTTGCAATTTAAAATAGACGAATCGCAGACTAGAGAAGCAAAAAGAAATTATAAAGCACGTAATAAGCACACGTTAATAAGCATTATCTCAATGCCGAAGAATCAAGGATCAAAAATCTACTGACTTATTTTAATATTTAAATAAGCTATCTATTTAAAGCGAGAGTTTGAAAAAGAGGAAGCTTTTTAATAATAAAAGGGGGACATTCCTTGATGCTGCGCAGTTGATTTTACAAAAAAATCACCTTATTACCAAGTCCATGCACACACTACCAATTAAACCGAGTAAGAATTAATTCAATCATACTGGCTCCAGGCTTATTGTTCGGATTTGACGCCGAGACTCTAGCAGTGAATCTGCAAGAAAAGCTGACAGGTATCTTGATGCGTTCATGGCGTGATTCGAATTTTAGTAGAGATGTGCGACACATTTTTTTGGGGCAAACATACTGAAACATTTGGTTAATGCGGTTAAATTATTATGTTTTTATCTGCATGAAAAGGTTGCTGACTTTCTCCGCTTATCTTTACATTTGAAGACTTTTTAGTAGTTAAGTGTCACTTTTAACAATTATTAATGAAAGTAATAACTTATGACAGGTGACTTCTTGGCTGGTCATCTTTTAAATAGAATGTCTTACAGAATTTCTGCCGTGTGCTAGTGCTAGGAGACAGTTAAACTTTATAATCAAAATATCTTTTTCAGTGAATTGCCAGGGTCTAAAGTAGCAGAGTTACCTATGAATTAATTAAAAAGGGGATTAAGTGCAATTGAAAGGCAGAAAAGGTAATTAAAAAATAGATTCGTTTATTAAGCCACATTTAAAATGCATTAACTTTCAACCTTTTCAAACAAAAGCCAGCCTCGTTCTGTTCAAAAAAATAAAATACAAATTTACTCACGGCGCTTTTGGTATGGACGTTGCATGATTAATTATTTGTTTTGCTTTCGTCAGCCCCGCAAAATTTTTTTTTAAAGCCCTGTCAATCTTCTCATTAAATATCAATATTTCAAGAAATATCGCTATATTTTTAATTAATTTTAACAAATCTATTATTTTGACATTAGTCAATATTTTCATTACTCAATAATATTTATCGTTTTTCGAATTCTCGCAGTATCATTGTGTTTGATAATTATCGAATAAATAATACTTTTAGTAAAGCATAGTGCTTATAATATATCGTGATAATATATTTAAAACTACAGTTATCAAGATGCTTGAAATGTATTGATATTTTACGATATATTGCACAATTTTAAAGTGATTTAATACTTTGGAGATTCTAATTATCACAACCCTATTACTTAATAGAAATTGGAGAATATTCTATTACCTCATTGTTCCGTATTTGTAAATTTACGCATCTTCCTTGGCGCACTGTAATTACGCCAACTTGGCAAGCACAACCTTTTTCTAAACTCAGTCTATGTTTTGTACGCTAACACAATCCTCGCATCTACACTCGAAAGGGAAAACGCTAATAAACCTATTTTAATAAAAAAAAACGCTTACTCTTCATTTACGCTACCTCCGCACACTCATTTTTGATCAAATAATGTATACTTGATGTGTAACCTTTTCCTTGAAATTTTTTCTCTTAAAATTTTTTATGGTTATTAGTATATTGTTTAGTGCAAAAAACATCATATTTTATAATTTCCAAGTAGGAATTCAAGCAAAAACTCATAAATTGTAGAATTAATTAATGTAACTAGGAGGCTTCGCCCCCTGCTCGCTGGTGCTCGCCACCCCCCGGAACTGCTTAATTATTGAAATGAAATGAAACATGAACTGATATTAGGGATCTGAACACAACCTTACAGTTCAGCGGCTGGAGAGACTAACAATATTGTCGTTAGATGGCGCTTAGCAGGTTTTTAAATTAAGAAAAGCGGCATTTTGAACAATACTCTGATCTGTTACATAATGACGAAATGTTTTTTCTTTTAATTTTGACAAAAGTAGTTTTCGCGCAGAATTGACGATAGTTATTTCGACACTTGGACAAACTTTTACTGAGAGCTTATAAATTTTGCTTTGAGCAAAAGCGAAGAAAGAAATTTGAGCACTCCTTTTCCTTATCACACATTTTTTTATTATCCTTTGCGAACCATCTGTGGTTTTTTTTCACGTTTAGAAACCGCTAATTTTAAGTAAATGAATCATGTTTTCCGTCGACGATTTGGAACTTTTTTCGAAAAATTTAATAGTTAATAAGTTGTGAAGAGTAAGTAATGTTATGAAGAATTATGTGATCAAAATGATCGAATCATAAACATGAAAAACGATATTAAATTTATCAGAATCTGTTCGATTGCAAATTGAAACTGAGAGAACATGAAAAGTCTTTAATGTACACACCTTCAAGTTTTAAACCGCAATTAAACGAATCTTGTTGTTCTTATTCTGCTTTCTTTAATAAGAATTCGCTAGAGTTTTGATCACATTTTTAATTTCCTTGTTCAAATTATAATTTCCGAGACTTTTGACTTTCTTTTTAATAAAAGTTTTAATAAGAGTTTTAAAAATGCATGTTAAAGGAATTAATTACGGAACATTTTGTACTTTCCAAAATTGTTCACACGCTTAGTTTTTAGAATGTTTAAAAGTATAAAAAAAATGGCAAATAAAAACAATGTTTTGTTGTTCTGCCTGTATTTAATAAGAAAAATGTCCTTTACATAAGCTTATTTGATTAAAGTAATAATAAAACTTTTAAATAATATCTAATTCTCTAAAAAATCTAAAATTGTATGAGAAAACGAATTATAAATAAATACTGCTCGATAACATAAAAGTTCAGTATTTTGGCTCATAGAATTGCACATTTAAGAAAAAATTCTTTCAGATGATGTTATTGAAATTGAAATTTCCTCGCTTTAAATTACATTTTTTATTTCGTATTTCAATTTACATAACCTTCTGATGAAAAGTTCATACGACAGGGCACATACATTTATTATCTTCATCTTTGCATATTTCTATTAAATTCCGCTCTTTTGAAATTAAATGCATTTCAGTCCTTATGTTAATAGTTTCTGAGCAAGAAAACAGATTTTTATTTATGAAAGTTTATTCAAACCTGAAAAAGTAAGGTGCTTCTAGGAAACGGAAAGTAATGTAATTTATTCAAAGGAAAACGCAAGTCTAAATTCAAATAACTGATTTTCAACATATTTGTCAGAATTGTGTTATGATATTATATTTAATTTTAATATTTCTATGATCCTGTGGTTCCCAAATGGTGTTCCGCAGTACACTATGGCTCCAAGAGTTAGTATTTCTGTTAAAAATATATCGACCAAATTTTGAAAAAGCATTCATAAAATATTGCATCAGTATTTTCTATCTTGATTTTCAAATCGAAATAAAATAATTTAATTCTTTAATAAATAAAGGTGTTTTCTCAATAACCATTTTTAACGTTTACAGCAGTTCTTTCAAGTTTTCATTTCGAAGTAAACCAAGATAGGGCTTATTTTATTCATTTTCAGCTTCTGTATGTAAACCAAAAACAACTTTGTAACTTGACTAGATTCAGCACAAGGACTGCAAATTTGACCGTCAGACATAAAACATAATTTAAAGTTATGAATGAAGCCAACCGGTCAGTGTAGGGGTCGGGGAACTGGACTTGCATCAGAAAGGTTCTGGGCTCGAATCTCGGGAAAGGCAAGAATGTTCTTTCATTCTCTGTACTATATATCCCTACTGTGAGAGCAACGTTGGCCCACCTAATATGATGCCACAGAAGGAGCGGTCAACAAATCTGCTCTGAATTGGTGACATGCTAACACAGGTGGGCATTGAAAATAAAAATAAATTTAAAAAAAAGATTATAAATGATAGCGATGAAAAATCTTCATTCCTCAAATTAAATATTTCAAAAATAGTCTTCTTTTAGCTTATAACGTTCCCAATTACCTTAATAAACTAATTTATAAGAGAAGATTAATTATTTAGGATTCCGTAAGCAAAAAAATAGGCCATAACGTTCCTAATTACCTTAATGAACTAATTTATAAAAGAAGATTAATTATTTAGGATTCCTTAGGCAAAAAAATTGGGAACCACTGATATGGTCCACTAAATTTTTCCTTGCATACAGTAGAATTTTCCTTAACAGAATTATGACCGAACCTACTTTGAATAGTTAAAAATATTTATAATTGAGAAGTTACGTTGTTATTTTCTGCGCTTTTATCAATAAACTGTAAAATCAAGTTTTTAAATTTAATTCTAATCTGAATGTTTAATAAATTTTGCATTGCAAAATAGACATAAAGATATGTTATTTGAAAATTCACTTGCACTTTCACAGACAGAAATACTTCCCTTCGTTATATTTTATTATTATTATAATTAGAAGTACTATAGTAGTAGTACTACTAGTAGTAGTATTGCAAAATTCTTTTATACAGAACAGTGTTTCAAACAATTCTGAATCGTTAACTGATTTCATAAATTATCGAAGTTACTTTTGTTGATGTATTCAGCTTTTCGAGCATGAAAGGGTCTCCCAATTCCATTTGCAAAACGATGTTTACACAAATAACATCATACAATTCATTTTAGAAAGAGAAGTCATGATAATCAAATATACTGGCATAAAAACCGAAAATTACTACTTTCAGCATCGCATTCACCAAAAATTATACTTCAAAGCAATCAAACTCTCAAACTAATAAGTGTTTTTATTTTTTATTTTTATTTTAAAGACTGAATTAAAACGGCATATTGTTGAAATTACGAAAAGAAATGAAAAAACTGATTTTGCATATTAAAAAGGAAGAAAAACATATTGGAATTAATTTAGGTTAACATAGATGTGCGAATA